TGGAAACGGCAAGTTATTGAATATCGGAAACGCAGGAACTAGGAGGACCTACATTCCAAGTTTCAAGCCTCTAGCTCTTATAGGTTCTGAGATCCTTGCGTTCATTTAAACGGACGGACAGTCGGACGAACGGACAGACAGACGGACATGGCTAGATCGACTCGGCTATTAATGCTGATCAAGAATATATATACTTTATGGGGTCGGAGATGCTTCCGTCTGCCTGTTACATACATTTGCACAAATAAATTATTCCCTTTTTACCCATTTTTAATGGGTTCAGGGTATAAAAATGTCCTAGCTGAAGTCCCTCAAGAAATTGTGCTATATACTATCGTTTATATAATTTGTAATAAGCCAGTCAGTTGCCGAACAAAACAAAATGTTTTTTACCAAATAATATATAAATAGTTACAGCTCGTTTTAGAACACATAATCTGAATCGGTATTGTTGCCTGTCTTATAAATGTAGAATATATATGAATATGTATGGACATCTTTGGATAAATGTTGCCAGGTTTTACAAAGATATCTATGTTTTCACTCGTTGGTGTTAGTATATGCGTGAGCGGAACAAGTAGTATTCGCACCTGTCAAGCTCTTCTTGCAAGAATTAGAAAAAAGAAGAAATTAGAATTATTACTTATTATATTAACTACGCGAAAAGTATTATTCGCACTGGTCAATCTCTTCTTGCCAAAATAACAGTAAAGATGGAAAAATATAAATGAGATAAGGGAAACCGCACACCAAATGGCTTTGACTATGTGTTGACATATGTATATGTACATAAATCAAACAGCAATGAAGTTCTGAGAAAATATTTACCAGAGCTTGTGGCTTATGTAATTTTTAAATAAAATCTGAATTTATTAAAACTAAGCTGCAGCGGACCACACATAGAGATTGATGCGTGTTATTGGGAGACAACAGCAATTTAAGGAAACCTATGAATTATTTTATATCGATGTAGTCACAAAGATTTCATGAATGAATGAAGCGTTAAGTGATGCAAAATTAGCAAATAGTATAAAAGGAAATGTTAGAAAATCTCTAGGCAATCTATCGCCCGGAGCATTTACAGTTTAGATCGTCTTTTGTCAGAAACTCGTAAAGCCGAAAAGTTTATTGCACGTAAGCAAACGTATACGTATACGCTTGCAGCAGACAATTGGCAAATTCGCTACCCAAAAACTTTTTAATTATTTTATATGGATGTTGGCACTAAGATTTCACGAATGAAAGAAGCGTTAGTGATGCAAAATTAGCAAATATTATAAAAGGATATGTTAGAAGATCTGTTATTATTCGCCCAGAGCATTTACAGTTTAGATTGTCATTTGTCAGAAACTCGTAAAGCCGAAAAGTTTATTGCACGTAAGAAAAATATACGCTTGCAGCAGACAATTCTCAAATTCTCTAACCAAATAGCGGTATCGGATCTAAATGCAGAAGAATCTAACAGTGAAAAGGAAATAAAATTAGCCGCTTTTAAGAAATTCAAAAAAATGTATGATAATGAAGGAGATAAGTCCACGTATCACCTGGAGCTTTGATCAAATAGGTCACTCGTTTTATGACTGCCCGTCCGAAACAAGGATTATTTTCTGTTACCGATGTGGGGAGAAAAATATAACCTTGGATACTTGTCCTAAGCATAAGGAAAACAATTAGACGAAAAAGTGATTACCTCGTTACCTAGTGGTTACCTCGTTCGAGAAAGAAACCCCAATCAAACTATTAAATGAGCCTAAAACAGAGAAAATACGTGAAATTAATGTGAATGAATCACATACATTACGTTTAGAGCTAAAGTGTATATTAAGTCCAAGAAAGATATCGTCTAAAATATTAAAGTGTAGAGATAGATATAAACTATTAGCAAGAAACAATACGTAAGATTCGGATAGGAGATGACGAAGTGTACGGTTTACTGGACTTAGGACCATCTGTTAGTATATTAGGAAAAAATAGTTTGCAGAGAATTGATAAAATGCGTTTATCAACCAAGGAATTTAAGTGTTAAATTAAGACAGCTTGTAAAGTAGCTTCTTGGCCGGGGTGATGACTCAGTCTTACCACTAACCAAATAACATATAGACTGGTCAAACCGTATATTTGGTGGTGACAATCTTCTTTTTTTTGCGGCTGGTCCAAAGTCGCCTTCGTTTTTGTTCGGGTTCGAGACAAGCCCGCATGCTCTCACATCAAGAGAGTAAGAATACATATGGCCTGTGTTGTGAAACGGCAACGCTGTCTTTTTACTCGCTCACTCTACAGGAAACTGCTTTGGCTTACTCTCATCCATATGATTTGTGCGATAGAACGGCATCGCTGTTTTTTATCTCGCTCCCACAACAGGAAACTGCTTTGGCTTACTCTCAGTGCTCTTTCAATTTGTCTATGTACCGTTTAAATGTTTGTGTGTGTATGTGTCCGCACAAGCAAAAATGCCCATAAATTCAATATTTCTCAAAAGTCGGTGGCATTTCTTCCCTTTTGAGGGGACGAGTAATATGAAATAATGAAAGGGTTTGCCAAGTCGATGCGAAATTCTTTCATTTTAGCTCGTTCTTGTTCGAAAGGGGACCTAAGCGTTGGCATGTGTGCATTTAAAAGTTTTTGGACTTGCTATTCACGCATACTTGCGTATTTTGTATATGAATAGAAGCATTTATGCGCATGTGTGCCTGTTGGTCCCTGCCTGCCTGTCCGATGCAAATTTGACAATATTTTTGGATTTCTGAATTTCGAGCTCTACACACACACACAGAGACACAAATGTGTGTGAATGGGCTGATCATGGGCGCAAAATTTCAAAATGCCATTATTGGCACGCGTCTGACGCGCGCCCTTCTCTTTATGATTTAGGGTTTGAATTGATGAATGAATGTTGACCCGATGTTGGGCCGAAAGGGTAAACTTTTGGCAAGTACCTGCACTTGCATATGTAGATAGGTCTAGTGACTAATCACTCAAACAATTATGACCAGCGGATATTTGTGCAAAAATTAAAATCTTCAATTATGTATATATGTATGTATATATTTATTGTATTATTGATTTTATTGAATTATCAAATTAAAGCTATTAAATTCAAACCCTACATCATAAAAAGAAGGGCGCGCGTCAGATGCGTGCCAATAATAATATTTTCTTTTGCGACCATGATCTGCCCATTCAAACACATTTGTGTGTGTGTCTGTGTGTAGAAGTCGAAAATCAAAATATTGTAAAATTTGCATCGGACTGGCAGGCAGGCACCAACAGGCACACAAGCGCATAAATGCTTCTATTCATATACAAAATATGCAAGTATGCGTGAATCGCAAGTCCAAAAACTTTTAAAAGCACACATGCCAACGCTTAGATACCCTTTCGAACAAGAACGAGCTAAAATTAAAGGATTTCGCATCGACTTGGCAAACCCTTTCATTTTTCGTATTACTCGTCCCCTCGAAAGGGAAGAAATGCCACCGACTTTTGAGAAATATTGAATTTGTGGGCATTTTTGCTTGTGCGGACACATACACACAAAAACATTTAAACGGTACATAGACAAATTGAAAGAGCACTGAGAGTAAGCCAAAGCAGTTTCCTGTTGTGGGAGCGAGATAAAAAACAGCGATGCCGTTCTATCGCACAAATCATATGGATGAGAGTAAGCCAAAGCAGTTTCCTGTAGAGTGAGCGAGTAAAAAGACAGCGTTGATGTTCCACGACACAGGCCATATGTATTCTTACTCTCTTGCTGTGAGAGCATGCGGGCATGTTTCGAACCCGAACAAAAACGAAGGCGACTTTGGACCAGCCGCAAAAAAAAACGATTGTCACCACCAAATATACGGTTTGACCAGTCTTTATGTTATTTGGTTAGTGGTCTTACCCAGGTCCTCTCTACAAGAAATTTGTAGTTTGCCGAGACGCGAAGCTGAAAAGGGGTGTACGGAGCCGTAGGGATAACTCCGCCACAGAGTGGTTACTTATTCTGTTAAGGAAAAAGGGAAGCCGCTGGGATCGCTCCACTGCGGTTAGGTTAGAGTCGGTCTGCGTGATGGGTGCTGCTGGGATCGCTCCGCCGCAAACGAAAGCCTAAAAATGCACAATTTCTACACAGACAACACGCAAACACCGTTTTACTCTGTGTACACTCACTTTCGTTTTTATTCGTTTCTTAGCTTTCCTAGCCTTGCTGCACCGTCAATTCTAGGTCGTTCCCACCTAACCTATCAGCTAACTCGCGGTCCCTAAATTCTGTCCTTCGTTACGTACGCACGTCCGATACTCACGCTCGTCGGTTCCAAAGTGAAGTTGCTGATCGGCGGCAGCAGCTCACGACCCTCTTTTCGCCCTTTTTGCCCTGCGGCGAAAATCCTCTCCCTAAGATTGGCTCTCTTTTACTCCTTATAATATCAACAGAGTTGCAAGTGATTCGATTGTGCTTGCAGTCGGACTCTCTTAAAGCATACTCTTAGTAAGCATACTCTTAACCGATAACTGACTTCATTTACTTCATCTTTTACTCTTAACTTATGGTTACAATATTATTATTATTATTCTTAGCCTATGATTGTGACATTTTATTACTTCAGTTTTCTGTCCTCTTAACCTATGATGGTGTGCATATATTCGTATGTGGGCCTCATTGTGACTCCGCGTCACACACCCCCCCTCCCCCCCCCTCCCCCCGCCCCACCATCTTTGTTGACGGCGGGTGATTATCACCTTGTGGGCATCGGTGATGGTCACCCTAAGCGAAGCGTTACCGTCGCGTACGCAAAAACGGTTTCGGCATATGCGCGGGAGCCAACCGTCTAGCTTGGCGACTACTCGGTCGCGTACGTTAGGCGGTAGCCTCCCTTCCGTGGTGCGGAACGTCCACCTCGGCCTGTCTACTATCCTAATACCTCCCTCTGGTGCAGCTTATCACGACTTATCTTATAGATATTTAAACCTACGGGTCATTACAAATTTTCTCTCTTAAACTATCTTTCGCCTGGTCAGTCGTCTCCTGACCCTTCGGCCTCGTTGTAGTTATCTCCAGGTGGTCCATGATAGGCCATTAACTGGGCAATGTCACGACCCGAAAGGGGCCGTCGAACTTCGGCGCTAGTTTTGCCGCGAATCCGTCGGCAATCTTTGACAACTGGTGTTGGCGTAGCCACACCTTCTCGTCCACTTTTGGCCGCCATTCCGTCGTCGCAGATTGTAATGTCTTCCCTGTTCCTGGGAAGTACGCTGCAAGTTATGACGAACGATGTCGAGCACCTCCCTCAGACGCTGGGCCTTTTCTCCTGGCGTTTGCTGAACAGTGGCGGGCCCAGGCGTAACCTCGTCGTATAAAGCGGCGGGGAGACGAGGTTCGCGACCCTGTACCAAGAAAGCGGGTGAAAATCCGGTCGAGTCCACCACACTTGTATTCAAGTTTTTTGAATGTTCGGCTTGTGAACTGCACCCCGTTGTCGCACACAAATTTCCGGGGGACTCCGAATCGGCAAAATATCCGTTCCCGGAACGCCCTCTGTAAATGTTCCGCCGTCGCTCGCCTCAAAGAGACCAGTTCCACCCACTTGCTAAACGCATCGTGGAATACAAGCAACATGGTGTTACCGTGCTTCGAGCGTGGTATCGGCCCCACGAAATCTGCGCATAAATGGCCATTGGTACCGTCACCTGGCGCGTCATCATTCGTCCCGCCGGTCTCACCTGTTCCACCTTGAACTTCTGACACACCTCGCAGCATCTCACATGTCGTGCGGCGTCCCGGAACATCCCAGGCCAGTAGTACCTCTGTGCAAGTCGGGATATCGTCTTCCTCACCCCTTGATGCCCTGCCGTCGGGGCATTGTGGCACTCCTGCAGGACTCTCTGCCTCTGGTTACTGGCGACGCACAATTTCCATGGCACGTAGTCCTCGTCGTCGGCTCTGTGGCCCAGGTGGCGATAGAGTTGGCCGTTCTCGACAGCATAGTCCGGATACTTTGCGGGCTCCTTGGCGAGTCTCTCCAGCATACACGCGGTCCATCCACATGGGTGCTGCTCCTCCACGGCCTGACGACATGCCTCCAGTGGCTGCCGGGACAGTGCGTCGGCTACCACGTTCAACTTCCCCCGTCGGTACTGCACGTCGAACTGGAACTGCTGCAACTCTAAGGCCCATCGAGCTATCCTTCCAGATGGACTCTCTATGGAGTTGAGCCATTTAAGTGCCATGTGGTCGGTAATGACGTCGAACCTGTACCCCTCCAAGTAACATCTCAACTTGCGGATTGACCAAACTATAGCCAGACATTCCTTCTCCGTGGCTGAGTAGTTGGTCTCTGCCTTCAGAAGTTTCCTACTGGCGTAAGCGATGACTCGCTCCTCCTCGTCGATGGTCTGTGTCAGGACGGCGCCGAGACCGTAATCGCTCGCATCCGTTTGCAGCACGAATTTCTTGCTGAAATCCGGGCAAGCGAGGATCGGCGCGGTTGTGAGTCGCTCCTTGAGTTGCTCCAGCGCATCCTGCTGTTCCACGCCCCACGACCATACCTTTCCCTTCTTCAAGAGAGCGGTCATCGGCTGCACCACCGACGCAAAATTGGGGACGAAGCGTCGATACCACGATGCCATCCCAAGGCACTGACGCAGCTCCTTGCAGTTCGATGGGGCCGTCAGCCTCTGGATCGCGAGCACCTTTGAGGGGTCCGTCCGTATTCCTTCGCCGCTCACTACGTGTCCTAAATATACCAACTCCTTCCGGAAGAAACGGCATTTCTCTATGTTGAGCTTTAGGTTCGCTTCCCTCAGTCGTCGGAACACCTCTCTCAGGTTGGCTACGTGCTGTTCCTTGGTTGCGCCTATGACGATGATGTCGTCCAGGTAGGCGAAAGCGTGGGGCTCCATTTCCGGCCCTATCACCGAATCCAGTGCTCTCTGGAACGTGGCGCAGGCCGAGTGCAGACCAAAGGGCATCACCTTCCACTGGTATAGTCCCCGTCCTGGAACTGTGAACGCGGTATACTGCCTGCTCCCTTCCTCCATGGGGATCTGCCAGTATCCTTGCTTCAGATCCAGCGTCGATATATAGCGCGCGTGCCGCAGGCGCTCTAAAATGTGGTTTATCCGGGGTACTGGATATGCGTCCGGAATCGAATGTGCATTGAGCTGCCGATAGTCGATGCACATTCGCCATTCCCCTGTCTTCTTTTTCACCAGTACGATCGGCGCACTGTACGGGCTTCGGGACGGCTCGATGGCTCCCGTCCGGAGTAATTCCTGCACCTGTTCGTCGATGACTCGCTGCATCGCTGGGTTCCTCGGGTAGTACCTCTGCTTGATGGGCTCGTTGTCCTTCATTACGATCCGATGGCTAGCTATGTGGGACACGCCTTTCAGCCCCTCGAATCGCGCCAATTCCGCCTGTAGAAGCTCCCGCAGACTCGGCTCCAGATCTGCCGGCCAGACGTCCTCCCCGTTGGGACTCCCCTCTCCAGACCCTTCACCACTGCTAGCCTCGTGACTAGCTCCCGCGGCCGTATTTTCCCCTGCGACTAGTTTTCTCGCTAGAACGATTTCTTCCGAGGCGTGAGGTTGATTCTCCTGCCCGTTGGAACCAGCTACCCTCCCCAGCTTCACGCTCTTAGGTGCTGTTCTACCCGTGGCTCCCGAATCCACACCTCTGCCGACTTCCGTAGTCATCTGCCCTTTTTCCCTACGCCCTGTCGGGTCCTCTTTACGGTTCTGCTTCTGATCCTTTCCTGGCGCTCTAGACACCTCGCTGTCCGACCGTACCTCCGCTGGCACCCTGGACATACCCTTATCGTCCGACCGCGCCGTCACTGGCACCCTGGACACCTCTTCATCGTCTGACCGCACCTTCACTGGCACCCTGGACATACCTCGATCATTCGATCGTGCCTCCGGGATTCTCTCCGCGGGACGGACCGCCACCCCCTGCCGAATCCCTAACCTTGCCTCCGGGATCGGCTCCACAGGGCAGCCAGTCGCCTCTTTCCTAATTTCCCGTCTCTCCGGCGTCCCTAGCGTCATCTCGCTGTCCCCGCAACGAATCGTCGTACCTATCGCTCGCAGAAAGTCCATACCTAGGATCACTTGGTCTAGCATCGGCGTCATGATTAGTAGCGGCACGCTTATCGTACGCCCCGCTAAACTTACTCCCGCGTGCAGCATCCGCGCGACGTCTAATCCTGACCCGTCCGCCAGCCGTATCCTCGTTTGTACTTCCCTAATTTCCACGTCCTTCGCTACCTTCGCCGCGCAGGCACCACTGATGAACGATCGGGTGGCGCCGGTGTCGATTGTCGCCGCGTAGTCCTCCTCACCGATCTTGATCGTCGCGACGACACGACCCCCCTCGACTCGCAAAACATCTACTGCCTCCGGGCTCCGCTGACATCGCTGTCCATCCGCTCCCGGTCCGGATGGTGCCTCTGCCCGTTTCCCTGAGCCGGTCGTCTACAGCATTCCTGGCTGCTCACCCCCCTGGTTCCGCATTGCGCACAAAAGACTACCTGCGGGTTGGGACATTCCCTCCTAAAATGCCCCTCTTGCCCGCATCGAAAACATATCGGGCGTCTCCTGGCTGTTCCCCCGGTTTCTTGGCCAATCATTCGGTTAGCGGGCTCTTCCCTTGGCACCGGTAATACTGGCGATGAAGCTACCCTGAACGGGTTGTTTAAGCCTGTTGTCGCCTGTCCTTGCCCCTCGCCTAGATACGTGCCCATGCTATTACCTAATCGAGATCGTGAACCCGGGGGATACTGTTGACCCTGCTGTTTTATACCCTCATACTCGACCGCTAATTGTATGAGCTTCGACAGCGACGCGAAATCTTGTCTCCGCACATACAATTTATACTCTGGGGCTGCGTTGTCGTATATTCTCGCCAATTCTCGCTCCGGACCATAGCCAGCGTGGTGCATCAGCGCCCTGATGTCCACCACATACTGCTTGAATCCCTCGCCCTCTCGTTGACGGCGAGCCCGGATTTCGTCTTCCAACAATTCAAAATATCGCGGGGGCAAAAAGAAATCCAAAAATCCCTCCTTAAACTCGTTCCATGACACCTCTCTTAGCCCACTTGTCATGAACCAGCGAGCGGCTTCGCCGATCATGACCTCGTTCATTGCCCGGGGCAACCTATCGGTGTCAATCTCATAAGACAGGGCCCGATCTTCGATGGCTTCCACGAAGGACAGTGGATCAGCCTGCCCATCGAAGCGTATACCCCACTTCCTGACCTGTTCCGGAACGATGCAGTGCCCCCTATACTCCATGGGTAGGCGCGTCTGTGTTAATGGGACGCCCTCAGTAACACGAGGCGTCCCCGATTCCTTCGTCCTGTCGCTCGCATCACGGGCCTTGTAGTTCGGGATCGCCGGGACCTCGAGCAAGCCGGGGGTGTTCGAACGTGGGCCAGAGTCTGACTCTGACTTCGAACGTCTATCCCATTCGATTGGGTCAGGTTCGAGCTGGGCCTTGTGCTCCGGGGTCCTTGTGTATTTGGCCTCCAGCTCGGCTAGCCGAGCCCATATTTTGGCGGAATGCGAACCCCCGGACACGAAGCTTGCCAAACGACGACGCAAGTCTTCAACCCGCCCCAACTCGCTCAGCCCGAACTCGCGAGTAATCGCCTCCAGTTCCTCCTTCCGTCGCGAGTGGATCCACCGTACGCCCACCCCTGGATTCTGACACTCACCCGTATCCATCCTTTCGTACGTAACCTTTTACTGCTGTTCCCTTTTCCTCTTCTGGTCCACGTGACTCCGTTCGGATATCCAGTCTTCCTCGACCGCCTCGTTTTAATTACTTCCTTCTGGTTTTCCGAATTTATTTTTATTGTATTTGTTTATGATTATTTATAATTATTTTATTTCATTTTGTTTTATTTCCGTTTATTTAAATCACGTTAATTTTTAATTTATTTTATTTCAATTTATTTTATTTTCATTTATTATATTATTTTTATTTTAATTAATTTATTTTAATTTATTTTATTTTAATTAATTTTATTTTATTATTAATTTTTTATTTTAATTAATTTTATTTTAATTAATTTTATTTTAATTGTTTTATTTTAATTTGTTTTATTTTTTAATTAATTTTTTCAATTATTTTATTTTAATTTGTTTTATTTTAATTACTTTTATTTTTAGTTTGTTTTATTTTAATTCATTTATTTAATTTATTTTATCGAGCCAGAACACCACCATTGGCCGCACAAAAAAATAGTCGCACTTTTAGTTGACCACCCTAAAAAGTGACGCTGCGTACCGGCCTCGGCCCACGGTACCCTTTTGCTACACGCGTCCACTCTTTTACCGTGGTTCTATGTTACTGCACTGTGGTCACTTTCACTCGGTTGTTAACTAGTTATTATTAGTTTTCATTAATTGTTCTTATATTTTGCACCGGTGATCACATGAAAAAAAATATAAGAAAAACGTTCACTTTGTCTCAAATGTTCACTATTGTTCACTTCTTTTCTCGTCGCGCTTACTGATCGCGCAAATTTCGACGCGTACCGAGCGATTTGCCCCACGGTGGGCCTTCGCAGCTGTCCCGTTGACGCGCGCTCTGCCGACTCTCGGCTTATGCGTGTGAGCGTGTACTTGTATGCGTGCACACACGCTAGCACGCTCGCCGCAAACTCGCTCGCTCAGCGAGAAGTTTTATGGCTGTCCGTTAGTTTTCGAGTCTCTTCTTTGTCTTTTCTCGTTGTCCCCACTTGTCTGCCTGCACGTGTGCGTTTGTTGCTGACACCCCTGTGGGACTTTCTATGCTCCCTTTTCCTATGCCGCAGGCAGCTAACTTCTCAGTTACTTTTGCCGTTTTGGTTTTAACTCACCCTGGAGGCACTTTCATGGGCTTTTAGGCCACGTTAGTGCCACGCCCCTTCACGCCTAGGGTCCCTGCTCGGGCGCCACTTGTAAAGTAGCTTCTTGGCCGGGGTGATGACTCAGTCTTACCCAGGTCCACTCTACAAGAAATTTGTAGTTTGCTGAGACGCGAAGCTGAAAAGGGGGGTATGGAGCCGTAGGGATAACTCCGCCACAGAGTGGTTACTAATTCTGTTAAGGAAAAAGGGAAGCCGCTGGGATCGCTCCGCTGCGGTTAGGTTAGAGTCGGCCTGCGTGATGGGTGCTGCTGGGATCGCTCCGCCGCAAACGAAAGCCTAAAAATGCACAATTTCTACACAGACAACACGCAAACACCGTTTTACTCTGTGTACATTCACTTTCGTTTTTATTCGTTTCTTAGACTTTCCTAGCCTTGCTGCACCGTCAATTCTAGGTCGTTCCTACCTAACCTGGCAGCTAACTCGCGGTCCCTAAATTCTGTCCTTCGTCACGTATGCACGTCCGATACTCACGCTTGTCGGTTCCAAAGTGAAGTTGCTGATCGGCGGCAGCAGCTCACGACCCTCTTTTCGCCCTTTTTGCCCTGCGGCGAAAATCCTCTCTCTAAGCTTGGCTCTCTTTTACTCCTAATAATATCAACAGAGTTGCAAGTGATTCGATTGTGCTTGCAGTCGGACTCTCTTAATTTAGTAAGCATACTCTTAACCGATAACTGACTTCATTTACTTCATCTTTTACTCTTAACTTATGGTTACAATATTATTATTATTATTCTTAGCCTATGATTGTGACATTTTATAACTTCATTTTTCTGTCCTCTTAACCTATGATTGTGTGCATATATTCGTGTGCGGGCCTCATTGTGACTCCGCGTCACAAGCTGTTGGAAAGTTACAAGACATATTGGAAATATATCCATGTGGGATTCGAGAAAGTTCCAGAAGAGCAAGCAGCCGAGCGAGCAACGCGCAGTGGTCGCCGTTATTAAACGACGACAACAACAGAGAGCCAAAAAGCTACAAGAGAGAGCAAACGGTCAGAGCGTCCGCTCTGAGAGAAACCGATCAGAGAGTCAGTCGATGCCGATTTCTCGTAGGCTACACACGCAGGAGTGATTCGTAAAAGTCTTAAGTTCACACAAAAAATTACATATGTACAGTATTATTAACTAAATAGCATTATAAGCTACAACTATCAAAAAAATAATAAATAAACATTAAAATAATACAACGTTGTCTCAGAGTTGGTCATCACTGAAAACTGGAGACCACATTTTTGGGGGCTCAACCGAGATTGTTGAATTAGTTAATAGCCATATGCTAAAATTGTGTAAATTGTGCGGTGCTGTAGTGGACTTGTTCTGCTGTTAAACTTTTGCAATTTTCAAAGTTGAAAAGTAAAACTTGGTTGCTGAAAGAATTAAAGCTTTGTAAGGAAAATTCAGCTCAAGTGCGACTGAGAAAGCTAAAGAGCGTCTGGTGAAATTCTAGGAATCGTGAATTGCCTAGGATTGTGAAATTCAGCAGAACGAAACGCTTCAAACGACAATGAAGAAGGCGATGAAAGAGAGACGAATCTTGTTAACGAAAGAGACACGACAACTTGTGTGCACACAGACAACGCAAGCGAGAGGCTGGTGCGTTCGTGCTGTGGACCAAGGACAGGCGTGTATCGAAGACGAGAGAGACCGGTCGCTGGTGTTGTGAAATCAGAAGAAGAAACGACGAGAACAGAAATTGAAAATCTGGTGTTGTGAAATCAGGAGAAGAAACGACGAGAGAAGAAAGTGAAAATCTATTGTTGTGAAATCAGAAGAAGAAACAGCGAGAGCAGAAATTCAAAAGCTGGTGCTGTGCACGGAATCAGAAGTAGAAACGACGATTGCAGAAATTGAAAAGCTGGTGTTGTGCACGGAATCAGAAGAAGAATCGACGAGAGCAGAAATTGAAAAGCTGTGTAGCAGTAAAATGAACGAGTGAATTCAATACAAGCAGCTATGGTCAATATCTGGTGGGTCAAGCAAGACGAGAAGAGCGGTCTGGAGTTTTGTATTAGTGTTCGTGAGTAGAAAGTAAAGAAAAAAAATTACCAAAGGCAAAACGAAAATAGTTCGTGAGTTTCGCGATATCGGCGAGACGAAGTTAAGGAGACTACCGAAAATTAATTTTATTCTTGTCAATAACATACTGTTAAGTAACATTGGTATTTCGATACACATTTATGTTAAATATAGTTTGATACAGTTTCAAGCAATAAGTTGTGAACAAAATTTTAAAGCATTTTATTCAATTTGCAAACATTTTCAATACATTTAAATTAAAGAATTAAGTTGTAAAATGAGTAGAGACGAGATCTTGGCATTGCTTGATGCGGATTTGCGTATTAAACTGACAGAGCTAGGCCTTGGTGCAAGTAGTAGAAAAGCGGAATTGCAAAATAGGCTGCTTGCTCACTATGGACTTCCAGTTAATAATGATCAAGGAAACAGTGTTGAGAGAGATGAGGATTCATTTACAACGGTGAACGATAATGTATCGAATCCGGATAGAAAACCTAGTAATGTAGGTCAGAACCGTCAAACAGAAACTCCGCGTTTGGCTAGGTCATGGTACACTTTGAAGGATGTCGAAGGTAGTGCCACACAATTCTCTGGGTCGAACACCCCAGACATAAATCAGTGGATTGAAGAACTGGAGGAATGTGCACTTACGGCAGAGTGGAGCCAGTTGCAGTTGTTCATGTATGCAAAGCAATTGCTCGTTGGTGAGAGATATTTGCGATTGGTGTACCTTGAAAGTTGCATTGTGCGATGAGTTTGGTGTTAGGGTATCATCGGCAGAAATACATCGTAGGCTTAGCAAGCGTCAGCAGAAGAAGAGCGAAACACTGCATGAATATTTGTATGCGCTGATGGAGATAGCAAAGCCGATAGATTTGGAAGAGGAAAGTTTAATAGAATATTTCATAGATGGAATACCGGATACCAGAGCAAATAAAGCTCTATTGTACCAAGCCAGAAATATGAGGCAGTTGAAGATGCAGATTGAATAGTACCAAATGATGCGAGGGCCTTTAAAACAAGTAGATAAAAATAGCTCGCAGGGTCGGCAAATATGAGAACGTCGCAGGGAAAAGATCGGAACCAGTAAGAAAAGGACTTGTGGATACAGGAGCAGATTTGTGTTTGCTACGCCGGAATGTTTTTGCAAAATTAGGAGTTGACAAGTTATCGGGTCGTGAGAAATGTTTGCCAGGCATTGGCGAGAGTCAGATAGTAACATTTGGAAGTTTGACAATCTCAGTGCAGATGGATGGAATCGAGTTTCATGTTATTTCCGATGAAGACATGGCATTTGACGCTATTTTGGGCAGAACGATTCTTGAAACTATCGATATGAAAGTGACAAAACAGGGAACAGAGTTTGTACGCAGTGTGGCCAGTGAAAGTGAACTCAGGAATCAAAGCTATGGTAAACAGAAAGCCCAGGGCTCATGCGCCAATTTAATTAATGAATTCAAAAGCTTATGTATGCTGAGCTCAGTGAGGCAGGTGAGGCAAAGTGAGGCAGGTGATGAGGTTTTCCTGTCAGGTTTAACACAGACACAGTCAAATAAAGTGAGAAGGATGATACACGAGTTTAATCCGAAGAAAAGAGTAAACTGTCCCGTAGAAATGAAGATTGTGTTAACGGATGAGATACCAGTTTACCAGCATCCGATGCGCTTAGCGTTCAGTGAGCAGAAAGATGTAGACGATCAAGTTGAAGAGTGGCTTGCGGACAAGATTATAAGGCCCAGTACATCCGAATATGCTTCGCCCATTGTTCTGGCAGATAAGAAAATCCGGA